TCTGGCACTTCCGTGGACTCTGTGTCCGGAAGAACTGGACTGAGTGTTTTGAACCATGTTCAACTTCTTGTGCGCGTGAGCGTGTGTGAACAACACACCATAATGTGTTGGGTCGTTTAAGGTCAGATTGGAGATGACTATTCATAGCGCAGACGTTATCCAGCTATCCAAGTATCTAGTCCAGCAAGGCACAAACCCAAGGAATTCGCTCACTCTGGCCTCATTCTCACTGCAAAGGAAGGAGAATCAAAACATATTTCAGTCCCACTGTGGAACAATTAAACTTTTCTGGACAGTGAATTTCGCAAATTAAAACCTCAGAGATTCTAAACCAAGAGGGAAAACAGACACAGATAAAAACAAGTTTTTATAACCCTCAAAGAAAAACAGAGACTCTGTGTAAATCTGATCTGGACTTTCCCTAGACAGATGTGTCACAGGGACACACATGCATTAATAAGCTTGTGGACCAAAGTGCATTCTCCCTCTCATACAAGTACACGCCCTGCGAGGCCAACATACACACAAATACATCCCTCTGAAACACAGGCTTCTTCTCTCAGTGCAAAGTTCCTGTTTCTCACACAGAGTCAGTACAGGAAAGGCAGACAGCGAGGGGGAAGGAAAGAGAAGCAGAACAGAAATGTTCTAAGGTTGTTTCTGAGTGTTGCTTTTTGACGTGCTATGTTTATGTTCCTGTCCTGTTGAAAACCTCACAACCAATTCCTGCTTCTACATCTGACGCTCCATTTATACTGACAGAATTTCAGATTATTTTTATACCCTTTGTGGAAAAATCCGATGTTCTTGTGGCTGACTACATTGAAAAGCAACATTACCATGTCAAACTTTTCCCTCATCACAGTCACAAATAGATCAGGTCTGCCACAAAGGTAGAAAACAAATCTGATTCTTGGTTCTTGTGTAAAGGCAGTGTTAGTTTGAGTTTGCTATGCATATAATGTAACTTTGAACTTATTCTCAGCTTACCGGGCAGCATTAAAATAATTCTACATGTTCAGTGTGCATTGCACAAAATATTCTGGTCTAGTTGGAGAACCAAAAAGTACTGTAAAATATACTCATACATCAACCCCAGCACAAGTTAGCAGTCTGGGCTAACCTGAGCTACATATATGTTGCATGTCTGCAGCTGCTACACAGTGCCCAAGTTAGCCTGGAACCTTTATTGTGAAAATGAAATTTGCAGCAATAATTACATTGTGTCGCCCTTACATAGAGTTGTTGCAGAATCTGTGAGATTGGTGGTAGTTTTTCTTGTGAAAGACACACATATAAATATTTCAACAAGTCAATAGCCATGCTAGCGGCTCTGTGAGGCTGCACTTCAGCTGCTATGAAAAGTTGTTAAATTCATCCTGAGGAGAACATGAAAGAAATGTCATGACAAATCACCCAGTAGTTGAGACATTTAAGTGGTGGACTGACAGACGGACAACGTTGTCAACCATAGAGCCATGCTGTTGGCACGGCTAAAAACGAGGCATGGCGGATTGCTTAAGGTTTTAAAGTAAATTTGAAATTATTTCCTGTTTATATTAATTCAGGATTAGTATTTGCTGGCAATCTCACACAACATATCAATGTATCACCATGAAAAACAGTAGCCTACCACAGCAGAAAAGGTGACAATTTACCTGGTCAAACGTTGGGAGATCACACCGCAGATACAACTGGAGTCTTTCCCATCACCAAGAGAGCAGATCAAGTGATTGTGTTGCTTGCGCGGTGAGGAAAACAATCTGCAGCAATTACGCAGGAAGGCTGCAGGGCTGTCTTTGTAGCTGTGACTGTACACTGTGAGATGAAGGGAGTAAAAAATGTCTCTGCTGTGTCGACGAGCACCAAAGGTTAAATATGGTGTGTGATGTTGTTTTGTGTGTGTGTGTGTGTGTGTGTGTGTGTGTGTGTGTGCGTGTGCGTGTGCATGGAGGAGACTAGCATCCACCTCATGAATTATAATGTAAGCTGTCAGAGTGAGTGTGTCTTCAGGATGGTAAGTAGCCAGTTCATGGGAGGACAGGGCAGCTTGGTGCTTGATTACAATCCTGCCTGCTAGCAGACAGACACACTATGACCATGACCACCTATACTAGAAACCAGGGTGTGACAGGTCCAACAGTAAGTCATCGTGTCCCGTTGATTTAAATCACATCAGTGACAGTACCCAGAAAAAAAACAAAACTCTAACCGACTGAATTCCGTAACACCTTGGACATCTTCACTCTCACTCTTCACACATTAGGCATCAATAACTAATAACACATTTGTCTACACCCCCCTGCAACCTGTGTGTCCTAGATATTTACTCTCAAAACGTGTGTGCTCGTCGTCCAGATATGTCATTTGTGCAAAAGGTTGCACGCGTATATACGATTGTGTGTGTGTGTGACTTAATCATGCTTGGCTGCACCTGTGTGTGGTCTGTGAATAGCAAGTGACAGTAGGGACCAGACCAGAGCAGGAAGAGCCCCAGACAGGCAGCATGGTGGGGGTAGGTGAGAGAGAGAGAGAAGGGGAGAGAGCACCCGGGGGGCATTCCACAGTGCTGGGCAAGACGCGAAGGTCATGTCGCTAAGCATCAGATCAGCTGGGCCGCTGGCCTGGGTGGGGTGCGTTTGTGTGTTTCTCAGAGAATGGTATCATGAAATGCTCTCGAGGCATCTCAGTGTTTCTTTGTTCAGTCGGTTCAGGTTGGGTGGTTGAACACTGTGGAGCAAGAAAGTTTTTCAGAGGATTCGACTTCTGTCAACTTCAGACATTTGTTTTGATGTTAAACACATTTGTGGCCCCCCACAGATGGCTGCAAAATTTCATGTTTACCGCAGATTAAGAGACTAAATCTGAGATTGTTTCAATATTTCAAATTTCAAGTTTATTTTCACTCGAACAACAGTTACAGTCAGTGCTTTTACAGATATGTATAAAAATATGTAGGCATACCATAAGTGGTACAAAATCTAATTAGAAAGTAAGACATTAAAGGGGAACTTGGCAACTCGAGCCATTTCTTCGCTGGTTTTCACTTTTGTCGTCGCATGTTTCTCAACGAGCTCCCCCTACAACTCTGGGACGCAATTTCAAAACACTGTCGTAAACTCACTTGCAGCACCCTCCTCCCCCTTTCTACCGCTGCTGATGTGCATTTGTTGCCGGGCAACTTTTTCGTGTGGAGCAATGTATACCGAGGTGGGTAATACATCCATCGTCACTTGTTTTTATAGCCGGCGTGGCTAAGCGGTATTGAGGGGGGGCGTGTGCGTTTATGTAGAATTGCCGTAAAGCAGTTTGTGTTTCTCGCTCGTTCTCGCTTCTCACGATACTTCCTGTTTCCAACTTAACGGGACGGTAGTCCCAAAGTTGCAAGGTTGGTTTTCCGCCTGGGGACGCTAGGGGGAGCGGGGAAAGCCGCCGTTAACACCGGAACAGGCCATTTAACCATCCAAAGGATTTCTAAACGGGTTTATTAAGTTGAAATAGTTGCCAAGTTCCCCTTTAAATAGTGCAGCGGCTAAACTATATAAATATAACATAAAATAAAATATAAAATGGAATATAATACTGTGGTAGCCATATAGTAACCAACAGTAAAATGTACGTAGTAAATGTATAGAGGTAAGCATAGAAATATACTACGATGGATAACTGTGAATGGAGAATAATTCTAGTTCAAGAATGGATCAAATGACTGCATATAATGTGAAAGTGTTTACTTGTAGTGACAAACCTACTAATAATGATCACAATTATCTAAACCCCCTTAGCTGTGTGGCTCATTTTAGCGTCTTTCAGCTAACTGTTTCATTGTGCAACTTTACTGTTTAGATTGACTCTCAGTGTCTCACCATTGTTTCCAGCAGCCAGCTGTTTTCAATGAAGCTTTGATAAATCCACAGTTCACTACTGACCAGAAAATAGCAGACAGACAAAGTTAGCAACTATGTGGTGAACATAGTGTTCAGCTGCTAGAAAGCATATTTCTCTCAGGAGTTGGGGGAGACCAAAACTGAGCTAAAAGGACACTGAATGTTGAACGTACAGTCGCCAGTTGACCAGAATGAACATCAAATTAATGTTATGAAATGAAATTATTTTTTCTTTTAACCTGAAAATCTGACTAAATTGCCATTTCAGTTTCATTTCATTATTTGCAGAAAAAATGGAGACGAGAGCTAATATTCTGTGTTCATGTATTTTAGAACCATTTTCCATCCCTTGATTTGAAACAACTCCAGACAAATTCAAATAATGTATTTCTTAACTCCTGAAAGGTTTTTGGCAAGAGTGTTTTCATCTGACAACAAGAAAATTAAGTTAAATAAAACAAGGGCTGGTAAAAATCATATTACAGAGACCTGAAAAACTGCTATACTGACTATACCTGATCATATTGTACAAGCTCTTTTGTGAGTCAGAGAATGAGAGTGGGATGAGAGAAAAACACGCATGAGGAAAAGAAAACACTGCTGACTGCAGAGCAAAAAAAGATCCTTGCTACATTTGGCAGTTGAAGTTACCTCAATACTTCAACTATTTTCACAAAAGTTCCCTCGCAGTGCAAGGAGAACATTTCTGTTTGTGTGTCTGTGTGCTCATCTGAGTGACTGAACCTGTCAGTGAATCATGAAGTCTGCTCTCTACCAGTTCAATAAATAACCATTCCCAAAAATGCCCGCTTTACTCACAGGTCAATTTCCCCTGCAGTCCGACAGAGAGGACTCCCCGGGGAGAAGGGAATGAGTCAAGGCGCACAAGCTGCTTTCCAATATACAGAGAGGAGCTGCTGGAGAACCAGAGCCACATGATTCACCATTCGCCCAAATATTTCTACACCTTACCTAAGACCAGCATGCTGCTGTGACCCTCTGAAATGTGTTTAATCTTCAAAATTTTGATAATTGATGAACCCCCTCTTTCTCCCTGTGTTTACTGTCTCTGTATACAGTCAATAAAGGCAAAAATGCCACAATGCAAATCAATTATTGAGCAAAAATAAGAAGTTTATTGCTTCCACTGGTAGCATGTGATACAACCCACAGGATAACAACTGATATGCTTGTCTTGGCTTACAGTGGATCAACAATGGATTCCCTCCAACCATGTCCGAACAGTGCAGTCTGACAGATGCCGCTGCTGATCAAAATAAGGAGAAATTAAAAGGGGAGAGGCTTACTGACTGTTCTACATCATGTATATTGTATATGTTGAATGAAAGAAAGGTCAAAGAGTGGACGACGATCCATCCTGTGGCGTTATGTGCCATATGATCTAATGGGTGATGACAGGTGTAGGCGGTAGCAGGCTGAGGGCAGCAAAACAGGGCAGGTTGAGGTCAGGGTCCTAACGCTGTCATGAAGAGGATCACTGCCTGACCACTGTACGCTATCTCTGCACAAACACACACGGCACACAGAGATCTCTGAGAACTCCACTGAGCACAGGGAAACATGTAATAAATAACTTTGTATATTATTAAACATGTATGTACCTATCATTCATTCACAAACATGCACACATTATTCTTATTTCAATTCTACAACAAGAAACTGAAAAGTAATCTTCAACCCATGTGTGGCAAATAGAATAAATTAGTCAGGAAATAATGGAAAATGGTGATTCCTTTCTCTCCCATAGGTGAGGCAATGTTTTTATTTTTTCTCATGTTGTTCTGTAATACAACATCAACAGCATAAATACAGTCCATACAGAGGTCATTCATGTCCAAAAAGATCAGCATCAACATTATTGGTACCACCTAGGTGCGAGCCAGCCTCCCACTATGTGTGCATGTTCCTACAGTACACCTGATTTACAGCATTACCTCACCTTTTGAAGGTCCACCTATTGTTTGTGACTGTGATGTCTTCATCCCTTCTGCATCCCAACACACAACACACATCTCAGGCTTGTATGTTTCAGTCCTATCCATGAGTGGTTCACCTGCATGTGTGCTAAAATCCATTTTTACAGATAGATACAATAGATAATATAGATAATATAGAGACACCGGTAGCAACAAGCCGGACTCTGTAAAAAAACAGCTGGGAGACGTGTCTTTGTGGCCTTGTCCAAGCAGGAAGCTTCATCTGCCTTTCAGGGCCGGGCACAGGGAGCAACGTTCACACATTAGAGTGTGACCTCCACTGGTTGACAATGTGAGACTGAGCCACAGGCTGCAGGGAGAACGTGTTGCATTTGGATGTGCAGCGTGGACGGAGCTCCGACACAAAGGCACGCGAATACACACTTTTTCAAATCCTGAGAAACACAAATGTCCACTCCTGCACACACCAAAATGCCCACACAAGCATTTTTAACACCTGATTTCCAAGCCCCTAAAAATCACAGACGTGTAATGCACAGACACACACACACACACCTACACCCACACACACACAGATAATGTGTCTTGATAACATTATGGATGGATGAGTGAGCAGCTCCATAGAACAGTGATTACTGGTTGCTGTGTGTGAAAGGAAATAGATTAGTCACTGTCTCAGCTCTCTCCCTTTTAATAACACAACATACAAACACTCCTTCATGCTGTCTGAGTGGAAAAAATAAACTCAAAATTCAATGTTAGGCTCCAAGGAAACTGCTTTTTAATAGAGTGTGGCATAAAGTGAAATGAATATGAATTACTATGATATCCTCTTCATCGTCATGCGTGTGTCTGCATTAGTTTATTAAACAAACATGTTTAAAAAAAACCCATGTTACTCTAAAGATCCTCAAGGCTTTTATTATAGTCACATTTACGCCCACTTTTTTGCATCTTCCTCCAAGCGTTTCACCCGCCTGCCATGAATGTGTCATGAAAGAGAATCATTTCAAGTGTTTCTAAAAAAATGCAAAGGAAAAACGACAGCAGCGGCCTCGCCGAGGTCCTTGAAAGATTTAAAATGCAAAGAGAGAGGAGGCTGAATGTAAAAATGGACTTTCCTTAGTGCTAGCACTAGGTGTTAGGGCTGCTCTCTCCCATCACAGGTGCATTCTGGTCAGACAGGAGATGAACCATGCCCTTGAGCAGTTCTTATGTAATCTTTTTTCCCTTTTTTTTTCCCCACAAAGACAAGCAGATAGACAGACACATGGACGGACAGATAACGCAGGCAAAATACAACAGCAGTTCGACTGTTTCCTGTGATTAACTTAATGTAAAATGCACCATTTTTCAATTCAAAAATGCATTGTCACACAATCCGAGAACAATCAGATTTACTGATTTGTTGTTGGAAGGAGTTATAATCCCTAAATGGGTGAGGGTGAAGTTGGTAATGAGTTCGACATTATTTTCCCTCGCTATCGACACAACGGCGTGATACTGATGAGCATGACGCCTCGCCTAATCCCACACGGGCGCTGAAGACAAGTCGTCTGACAGCCGACACACACGGGCTCACAGAGAGGTGTCAGGGAGACAGCGGCAACAAAGGGCCTTGTTTATTAACGGAGCTTGTGAGGTGACAAATGAAGCATGAAATGAGTATCTCGTACACAACACAGACATACCAGGTACTGTATGGCGAGGGCATGGAGGGAATGAGGGAGAGCAACCTGTGTCATGCCATGAAAACGCTCACAAACATACAGATAAAAAGAATCAATTTCATGGGTTGTGATAGTAAGCAGAATGTAGAGGCATCTGTACAACAGACTGTGTGACCCAGTTTATGCGGGCTGCATGCTGGTGTGTGTGTGCCAATCAGTCAGTCCTCTGGTTTAAAGGGGTAGTTCAACATTTTGGGAAATACACTTATTTGCTTTCTTGCCTAGAATTTGATGAGAAAAATGAATACCGCTCTCATTTCTGTATGATAAATATGTAATTGGAGTGGGTGGCTAGTTAGCTTAGCTTAGCATAAAGACTGAAAACGGGGGGAAACAGCTAGCCTGGCTCGGTCCAAATGTGGCAAAATCTCTTGACTAGCACCTCTAAAGCTAATTAACATGTTATATCTCATTTGTTTAATCTGTATAAATACTGTGAGTGTAAAAACTATGGTGGCAAATTATGGTTCGGAGGGGTTCTGTGTACTTGGCTGGCTGCAGTGACTTCAGTCAAGAAAAGGTACGGCACATGACTATGTTACTGCAAATGATCAATTCATGATACAAACAGATAAGGAAAAATTGATTGTTCTTGCACGATGATTACACAAAGCCTTTAAAGACCACAATAACACCCTGCTTTAGCTTGAACACGCCCCCTTCACAAATTCTAAAAATCTATTTGAATGAATGGATTGATGATATGAATAGGTGGTAGGGAGGGTGTAAATTAGCCATAGACACTACAAAACTGATCAACACAGTATATTTTCAGTTTTCAAGTAGTAGAGGTAGTATTTCTACTACTCCCATACTCTAATTTCTCTGGAAAATTGAAAAAAAACTGCTGTAACAAATGTAATTTACTTTAAAAAATTCCACTTTAATAAGGGCTTATACAGTAGACCATGAAACCAAGATAAAATCTGTCTAAATTTGACCTGGTGTTGACAGCAGGTAACCTGGCCTGCCTTAGTGTCTGTGAGCAAAAAAAACAACTGAGACTCTAGCAGTTGCAGGAGGCTACAACCTGTGTTGACCTCTTCATGAGGTTAAAGTGAATTTCCCTGTAGGGATCAGTGTCTTGAAACAGTGTCACAGAGTCTTTGCTGTGCTGCAATGAAATGGTTGTAAGAGGGGTGTGACACAGGGACGGAGGACTCTGAGTGTAATGCTGCCATCTATAGGTAGAACCAAGCTTCAGTTGACGCCTCAGCAGGAGACACACACTCCCTTATCTCTGATACCTGAGCATGTGTCCAAATCAGTCTCCTGCCTCCAGCAGAAGTCTGTCAGCTACGTCCCACATGAGTCTGACACGCAGTTACACCAACACAAAGCTCATTAAAACATTACCAAGTCCACACTACAGCTTCTCATCCCCCTCCTCTAACAAATGTTGACCACACATGACCTGCAGGCCACTGTTGATTGGCATTCAGTTGCCCTATTGGCACCGGCCAGCTTCTCACCTGGCAGACTCCCTGGCAGCAGGTAAAGAGGCAGAGGGCATCATTCAGAGGTCCCTAACCCTGTCACTTATCTGCTAGTAGACAAACACAAACACACACAATCACACACACAGACAGCACCCACAATCTTATGTGCACACACGTCACCTCCGCCTCTGTACACGAAAGCAGCTAAATATTAATTTTCCTTTTGCTCTCATAACTAGCTGGGTTCGATGGATCCAGCCCACATGCCTATCATCAGAGTTAAATTGATCACAGTGTGGATGATGTACATCATGTGGTGGGTAGAGAAAGCCTTTCTGGAGAGTGATGGATAGCTAAAGTGAAGGCAGCTAATTGGAAGTTTAAGGTAAAATCACACTGTCAGTGGGGGAAGGAAATTGACTGTGTTTAATTATGTTCTCTAGATGAATCCTAGCTGAAGTTACAAGAAGAAAGTCAGCACATATAGAGTTCTTAGAGTATTAATCGCAAACAAGGAGCGGAAAACAAAGCAGCAGGGTTGAAAGGAAAATTGAAAATGATTTGATGTATTAAAATCAAATATTCTTTTTAGAACCTCCATGCTGTGCCAGGCTGTACCACATAATTTCACTGCTGCAACTTGCAGTGTACTGTCTTCAATAGAAATTCACCATATAACACTGCTTTTGTCCAAGTGATACAATGGCTAGTGCCTGTCCCCGGTTAATCAAAGCTTCTGTTGACACAGGAAGTCTATGGGAGGACGCCATGATAGAGGGGTTCGGTGTGTGTGTGTGTGTGTGTGTGGAGGGGAGATCCACTTGCACTCACACTGCCTCTCTTCTCTTTGTATGACAGACAAAGCCGATAGCACCCCGCCAGTCTGGGAAGATAGGATCATTATACAAACAGCACCCTGCCATTATTGACATTACATCTGCGTGTGAGTGCATGACTGACAGACATGGAGTATGGAGAGAGAAGAGTGTGTGAGTGTTGCAAGTGTGTCAAACGGTAACTGCCTGACCAGGCCAGTCTTAAGGTGACAGCATGAGTAAAATAAAAGTACCTGTCAAGCTATTTTTGTCACTTTTTGTATGTAAAAATGAGTGAAATGCCATGACTACATTTGAGGAGAGGCTGTTTGAAAGTATGTACCGTTATCATCTGCACCATCCATCAGGGGTGACTGTGGCTCAGGAGGTGGATCGGGCCATCCAATAATCGGAAGGTTGGCGATTTGATCCCCGGCTCCTCCCGCTGCATGTCGAATACCAAACCCCAACTCCGGTGTGTGAATGTGAATGAATAAATTACTTTCCATTTGTGATGGCCTCTGTCATAACTGTATGAACGGATGAATGTGGCATGTCATGTACAGCTTCGAGTGGTCCCAAGACTAGAAAGGCACTACATAAGTACAGTAAGTTTACCATCACATCTGGACCCTTTCTGTGGCGGCTTTTAGTTAGTTTTGCCTTTAGACGTGGTCGGATGACACTTTGTCCAAACTAGTTTGTTTAAGCATACCCTGGCAACATAACTTGGCTTTTACAGCCACTACAAGTCCACTTTAAGAGAAGAAAGTAACTCTGTAAGCACAAGTGCATACTACAAACATAGCTACTGATCGACTGAAGACACGTTTGTTAAGAGGTTGCCAAGCAGTCACGTTTTTAAGATGTCAGTAATCTTTTTGAGAAGTGCATCACATCACCCTTTGAACGATATGCCCTCTGTAACTGTAATTGTTCACTTAAAAACTGGCCTTGTGTCTTCTTCCTCCATACTCTAGCACTTTACTAAATCACATGGATTTATACAGCTCTTAATTGCAGCAAAAGTCTCAAAGGGCATAGCACTGGCTGTATTTTAATGTTACAAATGAACACAAAATCCACCCAAACCGTACACTCTCAGTTTGAACTAGGAACTGCACAAACGGGAAGAAAATTAAAGAAAACTTGGCAAGGGTATCGCGCATGAAATGTAGCAGACATCAATTAAATATTAATAACAAAAAGGCACATGGGTGCACCAATATTTGATTATCATTTCTTTTAATTTGTCTTCTTGCCTCGCTAATTTCCATACTACTTAAGGTGATGATGCACTGGGGAAAATAAAAGACAATGGACACTGAGCAAAAATGGATGGATGGATGAAATGAAATATAATGCTGGCACCATCTTATCTTATTTTTTAGATTAATGTGCAGTAGTAGTAATAATGTTATCAAGGTAATTTCCTGAAATGGAATAATGTATATTATAGTGAGCCCAAGTATGAGTTTGTGTTGGTTAACAACCGTGTTTGCAATTAAACATCTAGACACTTAACAACTAACAAGTTTGTCCGAATATTTAAGGAAAATCACCGTTGCTGTTGCAAGCAATATGGCAAAATGGTTTGATTTCAAACTGATACCTGATTATTAGAGAGAAAATCTTTCCAGCTAAATGTGAAGGCAGTCATAATAAAAGTCAATCAAATAAAACACAGATAAAAGATATAAATATCAGACTTTGGCTACACAGATAATTGAATTCATTGTTGGTGTTGGTCTTGACATGACAATTAAGAAAAATATAAAATATCACCAGACTTATCCTTTTTAATTAGTTTTCCTTTTTCGTATATATAAAAAATTGTAGATATTTGTGAATCTGAACCTGTAGTTTTCTGTACTGTTGCACTGACTGTGTGAGTGTATAACAAGCTACTAAAATGAATGAACAGAGAAGATTAGCTGAACAGTCACTGATACATTCCTCTTAGCCACCGCCTAATCTGTCGCGTTAAAAACAAACCACACATTTACTGCACCTGAAACTCAACATAACCTCAGATATCCTTAGACCTGTTGCTCCATTCCCACGGGTAGATGTAGCAACAATTCTTGGCATATCACAATATCACACCTTGCCAGGAGCTGCCAGCGTGATTGTCGATGGCGGCAAAATCCTTCTTCTCCCGGAAAGATGCTCTCAAATCCTGTGCACAGCCTGGCAATAAAGAACCAAAGAAATGTAGAATCCATGTTAGCCCCTACTGCCGACACAAGAGAAGATTTCAGGCCCTAAATACAGAATAATGAGGCATTAAAGTCTGGGGCTGAGGAGGGTAATAATAAGAATGAGAAAGGGAAGGGGGTGGGGGGGTGTGTGGAGTGTATGACGGGAAAAGGGACAATAGTTTCCTGAGGAAAGACAGAGTGAGGGAAAGAACGAGGGGGGAGAAGGGAAGATAAGACTGGTGGCTTATCCTAGTTACTGGGGAAGGATTAAGTGATGTGCCACTTTGGTTTGGTGAATTGTGTGTGCACACATACGTAGACACAAACATGCCTGCTCAGTCTCTCTCAGACGCGTGCGCACCCCTTCCTCTCATTCAATCACCCTCGGAGAGACGCACGCACATCCAGGCATGTGCTGAGAGGGGTTAAGGAGCTGCGTTGCCCTCTGAGCCAGTCTTACTGGGCTGTAATGACTTTAGAGAATGTCGGATTCTTTTTATCCACCAGTGTAATATAATAAAGCAGAGAGGAGGGAGCTATCTTCTTCAAGCTGCCTCTACAGGCCTCAGCGGACCATCTCTCCAGCTCTTTCTTTTCTCTACCTTCCTAACTTCACCCGCCCCGTCTTTCTCTCCACCCCCTGCACTCAGATGAACAAATTCGTCCCGAACAACCTTGACCTCTTTCCCTTGCTCCTTTTCCTCATTCTCTGTCGTCACTGGCGCGTCGGGTTTGTTCAGCCTTCTGCTTTTCTGTTTGTTCCCTTTCTTCCAAGGCTCCATTCTTCCTCCAGTGTCAGCCATGACAGTGTAGTGTTCTTGAACTGCTCCACCCTCAGTCACGTGTTGTGACAGCCCGAGTTTCACTCCAGACACTTGGGTCAGGTCCCCTGCTGCTTCAGGGCTTCCTCTGGTTATCTCTACACTGTCTCAATAGTCCTAACACCCTTTGTATTTTTTCTCTGTGTATGTCTTTGTCTGCAGATGCTGGATGACACAGAAAGTAGTTCTCTCCCTGGGGGTCAAATGGAGGCAGTACACTCAGTGCTCAACATCAAGTAGAAACTAATGTCATTTCACTATGTATGATCTGAGAAACTCTCACAAATACATTTTAAGACACTAAATTATTGCTGTTGTACCTTGAAATTCCAGGCAGTTGTTTATTCTTATAGACAACTGGCCAAACATAAATCCCACAACTTCATTTCCAGATATTTGCAGCACAGGTATTAGTATCTGTCCCTCAGGGTGACAGAGAAGAGCAACAATAGACCTGGATGCTTTGTAGCTACAAGATGTTATAAGAAAGGGGAGATCAGTGATTGGGGCGTGGCCAAACAGTAAGTGTATTAGAAGAGTGGAATCTGGGACAAATGTGGGAGAAGGCTGAATCTCTCTTTTTTTGGACTGCATGTGGATGTAAGTGCTGATAAAGTCTTCAAGATAAACGTGTCAGCCGCATATACAACTTAAAAGTTTGGTTCACCCAAATCACAAAAAACGCATTTACCCAATTTACATGAACTATCTAATGACAGGTCTCATTAAAAAGAAATGTGGTAATTCCAGAGGTGTTTCTGCGCTTCCCAACTAGCCACTAGTTAGCCGAAAATTCACTTTTCACCTGGGTTCCAGTTCCAGTTGCAGTGTGTGTGAACCCTGTGGCCTTACTTTCTGCTGTGCTGCGTGCAGTTAGTCACCGGGGCTAGGCTAGCTGCTGATGTAATGTAATGAATAATGTAACCAATTACTTCTGCTAAAGAGCAATTAGCAAAGTGATGCAATTACTTTTAAATGAGTAATATATAAAGCGTAATTTTTTTTCATCATCCATTTTACCATAATTTCATTGCGATACCGGGGCCTATAAAACTTTTACACAGATCCTCTAAATTACAATGAATGTAACAAAACTCACCTCTCTCCCACCTCCCCATTCTCTCCTCTTCCTCCTCTCTCCATGCTGAGGTTCCATCCATCCAACTGCTTCACTAAGCTGCGTGTGTTTATGTGCATAGTTGGTGATTGTGGTAGGGGGTCTAATTCAATTCACCAGCAGCCAGTTCCAGTTCACATTAACACAGTTTAATAAAAGACTATTCAATTAGCTAGAGAGCTCCATGCGACAGTGTGCTGCGTGCAGAAACAAAATGATGACTGTCATTGATGGAGCCACACACTCCAATTAGGCTCACTGTCGACGTCTCACATGTGCAATGCCAAGTTGGCTGAGGGAAGAGAGAAGAAAAGTAGGGAGGGAAACAGCGAGGGAGAGAGGAAAGTGTAGGACAAAAGCGGGTGAACTCCAAGAAGAAGTAGCTACATATGCGCGTGTGTGTGTGAGCATTTCTATCTGACTGCATGTGAATTCTACAAATGTCTGACTTTACTTGAATTGATCCCTATTAAGTCTTTACAAAGGCCAGCAGTTTGTCAAAGTCTGACACCACCTCTCATTTGCTGACACCTCTTCAGCTGGATGAGAAAGAACAGCCGGGAAACAGCCGTTTCGAGAGACGAACAAAGGAGACGGTGCGGGGCTGCTCACACATATACATTAGGCTTCATGGCTGACTGTCAAACTTGTCTCCAGCTCAAGCTACAGGACGTCTGAGAGGTTAAAGCTCTGGCAGCAACTGAAAGAATCGCTTTTCAGGCAAACACCTGCACTTATGCGGTGATTGCCCCCCCCAACAACACAAACACACACTCATCTGCTTTATGCACATGTTCTGCAAGCCCGCTGTATTCAACTGGACCCCGTAATTGTCAGGGACTGGAAATCAATAGTGGTGCATTGTGAGGCATGAGCAGCCATCTTCTAACCTCGCACCATGCAGCTGTCTCCCCCAATCAAAGCCAGGCCGGTTACCACGGCAACCTCAATCCCCTATCTTTCACAATAATAAGGCGGGAAAATAAAGGCATTGGCTCTGGAGGTGCAGGGTTGAAATAGAGTCGGAGGAGAAGGAGGGAGTGAAAAATAAATCGACTTCTTAAGAAATTCTCTAAAAATAAATAAAAATGACAGGCACGCAGAGTTTCAGCTGTGACGCGTTTCGGTGATGAGACTCATTCAGACCCAACAAATCTCGGCTTCCTTAAAAAAAACAAAATAAACATCGCCCCTCCATCAAGATTGTGTTTATCTCATTTTACCACCAAAACTGCATTCAAAACATCTCATAAAGCCCAGTCTTTTTTTCACCCATTGTGCTCTCTTATCCGATATATTGGTGAAATATCCCTGATATTTCTGTAATTCAGCCAATTTAATTAAAGGGGGAGGGTTTCTAATAAAAGCCAAATGGCACATAGCAGTGCCTAGGCTTTTCAGGAGCTTGTTTAATCAGAGAATTGCTGAATGGGAGAAGGCAATAACAGAGTGAATAGAGGCTGGTATTTGTAAAGAAATGTCAGGGAGAGAGAGGGGATATGAGAGTCACTCGATGAAACCTCTAATATGGTGCTGCATTTAATATAGGTAATATGTGCATCATGTCTGTTGGGTTAGAGCTGCCTAATCCCTGGTGAGGAAGTTTTGGATGTGTTCGCTGACTCACACACACAACACTGGATTGACAGAGTGACAGACGCACACATGCACGCGCTCTTAAATCCATTTAATTGGTCTCAGTATTTCAATTTAGATTTCTATAATAGAGCGTGTATTGTATAGATCGGTCAGAACTGTGATCAATAGATCACTCCTTGCGGCTGTCATAAACAAATGCACTCTACTACATCCACATTGACTGCCACTTGTGTGAATGTGTATTTATATCCAGGAACAACTATGTGGGCATATTATAAAACCATTAATATTCTGTGTGTGTGTCTGCTCTGTGACTATGTGCAATACGTGTGTGTGCGATAACAAGCCTCTGTCATTCCGAGGGTGGCCAACCATGTCCATATATAAGTGGAAATGCATCTTAACTGAGTCACTCTCTTTCAGACACACACACACACACACACACACACACACACACACACACACACACACACACACACACACACACACACACACACACACACACACACACACACACACACAGGGAGGGGGTTAAGTGTGTGAGTACAGAGTGGTGCTGTGAGCTGTAGCTCTGTGTGCTGACCTTCAGGGTTATCTGGAAGGTTCCTCCACACCTTGCTGCTAGCACCAACCCTTGCTGTCACCATGGAAACACAGCTAGCAGGGACAATATGTGGCCTGTCCGGTGTGTTGCTCACGTGCACGCGTTCACGCAAGCACCCTTACGTGGCGACACATACGTCGTTCGCTATAGTGGAAAAACACAAGCACACACACATTAATACACACACACTTCACTATTCATCTCTCCTCCACTTCATTTATCCCTCATTTCCTTCACTCTCGTTTCCCTTCTCTCTCTTAATGAAACCATGAGCACGGCACACAATCAAGCCCCTGGGCCTGCACAGTGTTGTCAGAAGGGTGCACACGACCCCATTTTCAGTAGTGGAGGCATTATTAGCGTGCCGTGACAAGAGACATCCGCCATCGCACACACAAGACACAAAGACACACCACCTGCAGTCTCATCACCACCAGATCACTGGGATTTATTTCAGCGACGGCATGGGGTGTGCCGGTGCAACTTGACAATAAATCAACACATCATACACTCTGGAGTGACATGTCATGATAATACACTCAAAAACCAAGAAGGACGGTGAGTGGGAAAGAGGAGGGGGTTATAAAGTGACAGAGGATAAATAAATGGATGGATGAATAGGAGAAGGACAGAAGGAGGCGAGAAATGGACAGATTTGACATGCTCTCTCCTTCTTCACTTCTCCTCTTCCTGCTTTCTTTGGGTTTCTCAGCCGTGATTCTTCAGTGAGCTCTGGAAAAAGGAGGGAGGGAGACAAGAGGGGTGGGGGTAGAAAAGAGGAGAAACCATCAAATTATTACTTTACATTACTAAAACCCAAGGGGAAGCTAGCAAAAGTCAGTATGAATCATGGGAAATGCAGTCCCTCACACAAAAATACAGCAGTCGCTCAAGTATCTAAATATCTAAATATCATTAAGGGAAAGTTGAGCATTTCTCCTATTTTTCTAAAACATAACTTTTGACAGCAAAGAACATTTGCCATCCTACCACAAATATTTCTCTGCCATATTTACATCTACAGCTATCTACGCATCTATCTAGCTAAATCGTCTTCCTAGTAGAATAAAGAGTAAATGTTAGTCGAGAGAGAGAGAGAGAGAGAGAGAGAGAGAGCAAACTGATGTAGCTTTATATTTGATACTTAGGAAAAGCATGAAAATGGGTACCCAGGTGGTGTGCAGATAATTCCCAATTCTACTTGCTCCAAAAAAGATGATTCTTGCAAACATGGAAACAGGGCTCATTTGTCAGGAACTTTCTTTAAGAAAGGAAACCAATTTGATTTGTTTTTTGATGTAGACTAACACAACACTTGCATTTAATCAACTACATGGTCAAAATGTTTCATTCTTGAGTGTAAGAGACAGAAACGTACGTGATGTACTACAAACACAGAGGAATGTGTCGCGAGTATGGCCCTATAGAAAGTCTGACCTCTGCCCTATTTGGTCGGTAGCTGGCTTCAAACTGAATGTGGCAACACAGAAAAAAAAGAGAAAACCCCTGACACACACACACACACACACACACACACACACACACACACACACACACACACACACACACACACACACACACACACACACACACACACACACACACACACACACACATATATATATTCACGTTCTAATCCAGTGAAACATAGTAACTGTGGGGAAGGTTTATTGGTACTATAGACCTTCAATTGAGATATTTTAGCCACACTCATAACCTGACCAGACTGATTTTTTTTTGTAGATTTCTTCTGCAACAGCAACAACTGCAACCGACTGAGTAACCATTCAAACAAACCCCTAAACCTTTGAGCAAGGCACTTTGAACTAGAACTACTTTGCTGAAGCGAGAGTAGAGAGCATAGTGTGTCTAAGTAATGTCAGAGCTTTTCAGTTACTTGCTTTTATTATATTTCTTCATTCCACCTTAAAATCCAACAGCTTGTAACTGCCTTTTACTTGCTTATCGGGACTCTGCACTGTTGCCATAGCACCAACGCTTAGTGCTGAAGTGACAGCACCAGACGAGGCTCACGAAGAAGACTAGGGAGAAAGCATGAAGGAAAAGAGTAGAAAAGGAACCTTATTTAAATGATCAGTCCACACATAATTCTAGAGGAGCGGAGAAGAGGTGTTGAGGTGGTGTGTGTATCTGTATCTGTATCTGATGCAGTGGCTGGAGCAGAAACATTTTGTATACATATCTTCAGTCTATTATATTCCTACTTAAAGGTTCCATATGTATTCTAAAGCATTTTATGTATTAATCACTTTTTATTGCCAATGTGGGAACAAACTGTAACGTAACCTAAAAAATTAGAGCTACAACCAGTCAACAGTCAATCACAGTCCAACTGGCTAACTGTAGCCTAAGCTAAACTGGGGTTGGCCAGCTGACTGTGATTTGAAAACGGCAAGCTAGTTAACAGCATGGAGTCAATGGCCCAAATAAAATATAGGGATATTCAACACAGTAACATTATTCTAAATATTATTGTATTATATTTTCCAGCATTCAGTCTAGTGTATGTCACTTTTGGATGCTTGCTTATGTGTATGGACTGTGTACGGAGTGCGAGCAACAGGATGCTGACTGCAGTTGATTTAATAGCTACCAGTGTCACTATTACGTTTTTCTTAAAGTAATATATAGAACCTTTAAGTGAGACCACTGTCTACACTGGGCTTCCACCTCTGGCCACACTATCATTTATATTCTCTGTAGTACGCCACATCATCATTGTAACTCTAGACATATTCTGGGAGATTTCAAGAGTTTTGGACTGTGACTATTCACTTTAATAAAAATGTCTCCCTCCTGCCTCAGGTATTTGCTACCACCTGCCAAAAAAAGGTCAAATCGATGAACATCCATCAACCCCTTATCCCACAAGTCATTAAATTAATTAACAAGACTCATTGTTACTGTAGGTCATGAGCAGTGAAGTCTGGATGATTGCATGTTTTATGTCGCGATTCAAACTCTGCACAGCTTGTTTCCCTGTCTTGTTTCATCTGCTGCAAATCAATTGCCTCTGCAAGAATCGAAGTTGCGTATATATGAAGCAGTTAAAATTTAAGATAAAGATTCCCAAGTGGATCATGGGTCCTCTGTAAGACTTGACTGTGGAGACATTTCCTTGACACTGACTTGAAATGTTGAAATGAATATATGGAATGTGACTACAGTAGATGTCTTGGGATGGTTTCTTGCGTTTAGTACCAGATGGAGGTTATTCCAAGACACAAAATAAATCATGTTAAAAAAAAAGAGTTCTTAATTGATAATAGTACCGCTACTGTACTTTTAAAAGATGGCAAATAAATTGAAGCTTATAAGCTCCACTCCCACTCTATCATAATTATGCTAGAATAACTCATTTTGGAGAAAAACTCTGCTCAGATTAAAAGGAGAGAAAAAAAAACAAACTCTTGCAGAACAGCAGATTTGATGTTTGTGTATCAAAATAATAAAGCTTTTAAAATGATTAGAATTGTCTATGTGAGTTGCGGTAGTACAACACTAATAACTGATTGTGTTTCAGAAAGCCAGCCTACTATAAGCACATAAACACAACTAAACACCTCTTGTGTCAATACACAAACAAACACACAGACGCAGGAGAAGACACAGGGTGACCCAGGGTTAGTGAAGCATTAGCTTGTGGCTGCTGGGTGGGCTAGTTGGCATTCTAACTACCTCGGTGCTCGGCTGGCAGACAGATTTACTGGCGGGCAGGTTAGCTGTTCACTTGCCAAGTGCATCCGAGGGCATCGCAGCCTGTGCCATTGAATTGGAGATGAGCGGCAAATGTGACAAGGGGATTTAGCTTTACTGTTCCACTCACGTCCTCAGATATAAAGGGGGACAGTGTGTGTCTGCATATGTGCATGAAAACGCACTATTTGTGTGAAAGTAGGTCTGTCTGTGTGCACAGGAGTTTATGCACACATTAACGTGTGTGTGTGTAGGTGCATGCATGTGTGAGTTTGTGGCATCAGGGTGTGTAGGTATATACAGTGCTGTGATGAGACATTATGCCTCATGCATAGTGTATGAAGTAGTTCCTGAATTTCAAACTGACCCCTAGTACCTCCCACAGTACAAACGGTTCAATTTGGTGCCCCAGGTCCAAATCTGGACTGTCGCCATCCACACTTGGATAATTTAAAGACAGGAAAAGCTTTTTATGCACAACACCATGGACAGGGGAGGGCAGCCAAATATTCAAGCTCAAGGTCTGCACTGAATTTAAGACGTACACTTGCCAGATTATTAGGTACACAGAACTAAAGCTAATGTAGTCTAATCCAGCAATAAATCCAACCTTCATGAAGGTTATAATGTTGAGTTTTTTTTTGTTGAAATTGCTTTAAAGAGGTGCTGATTCAACTTAATGGTCATCCTGGATGATGTAGTTTGTGGTGCAGTTACACTGACGGTGCTTCTAATATTTTGTTCATCCCATTTATATCAGCAGAGTGTCAGGGAGATGATCATTTCTTGTGCTGAGATTGATGGGAGTACATTAATTAGAAAATAATATTTTTTTGTGCGAGTTGAAAATATAGAACCTTTTGTGAAGAATGTGCGCACATCATGGTGATTTTGCAGTGTTGTGTGGGGAGGAACAGAGAGACAGAGCTTGAGCCCGGGGAGGTCTGCAGAAGAGAGCTGGGGAAGAGCTGGAGCTTCTGGAGGAATAAACACCCGCAGTCACGCCGGATTCTGCTCTGATCTGGAGGCATTCACCGACAGGAGGAGAGCTTGGAGTTATATTTTTAAGTGGATTTATCTTCACTCTCACTTCTCAACCTGTCTGCTGTGAGACACGGCGGTGCCACCCCACTTGTAGCCGTCTGTGGGCACTGAGCGCTCTATGATACTGCTTCATTTTTATAGAAAGACCAAATCAAAATCAGGTGCTAAAACTAATATTGTCCTAGCGCTACAACATTACATCAAGACATTATATGGCGGTAATCTTATTGTGAGGTCAAAAATAACCACAATGCGATCTGTTTTACCTTATGCTTTTGTCAACCATTTCATAATCATATGAGTTGGAACAAATTCTTACACTCTATTGGTGCAAAAAGTGCAAAGTTGAACCAAAAACTTCACTTCATTATCACTGACTCTTG